GTCTGATTATATTAAGAATACTAAAATATCACGGTAAACAAATCGCATTAATATTTACTTATAAGACATTGATCTATGTCAATGAATTTTTTAATACATTCAATATTACAATCGATATGATCGCATGCATCAGCGACTCCCTGTGGCGTAATACTTATATAATGCAATAAAAAATGGTGATAATAGGAATCATAAGTCCCTGTTTACAATAGATGATTTAAGTCTTAAGTCATTAGAAATTGACCAATTACAATCGACGGTGAAAAAAATAATTGACTATGATTAATCAGTTTCTCAAAGCTTAAATCATACATTGTAGACCGGAACTAATAGCTTCTGCACACAAAACGCAGCAACGCTTGCAGAAGTCTCCATAATAGCCAACCAATATCACTTTCTATAAGAGCAAAAGAACGATTGGCTATCGCTGTCAACTTCCGCTGCGCAGCAAGCATTGCCGCGTTCTGCATATGATATGAGAGTGACAGCGCTGTTTGATTTTTATTTGTTTCTAAAATGGAAATCGAAGAAAACGTAAGTAATCTTATATTCATATTTTTGTATTATAAATAAGTTTTTTATTTCATCGATTAATAAATCGCATTATACGCAAACATTATGCAATTAATCAATCAATGAATTAAAAAACTCGTCTTATCTTATATTCGTATAGTAGACTTAACACCCTAAATATTAATAATTTTTTAAAATATTTTAACTTTCATTTTAGGAATTTGATTTTTCGGCGGACGAAGCAGCGTTTTCCGCTGCAGTGCTCGCCGCCGCAGCAGTGATGCCAGAATGCCAGTGATGCCAGAATACCCACGCTAGCAACACGCAACCATAGTGAAAAGGATGACGCACACAAGCGCAAACCGCGTACGTGTGAGCTTGGCGCTTCGGCTGGCTTCAGATAGCAGAAGAGGACAGATATACTGTTTTCTGTCTCTTTCCTTCTTATCGAGCCGGGATGAAGACCGGGCGGTACGCGATCGATTTTCGCTTCTTGCCTTAAATGTTCTTTCTAGCCTTTCTATATGAGACATATTATCTATTATATATCTATTATATAATATATTTACGATTAAGATACGTATATAAATTACTTAAAATTTTTAATCCACATAAAAATGCATTTTAAATCGATAATTTGAAAGAAGGTATATCCGTGTGAAGACAAAAAGGAAAAATCATACATTTTATTGAGAAATGTATCGATTTTCCAACACATGATTAAAAATAATGAAAAATACTATAGAAATTTTAAATATTTAAAAAATATGTCATATAATAATATTTAACTTTAGTTTCTATACATATACATTTACAATACCATTACGATACATAAACATATATACGAACCACATATATACGTTTGCGTCGTTGTCAAACAATACTGAATGGTGATTTTCCATACCACCTATATATGAGATACTATCAATGGCCTAAGATTTTATTAATGTGGATCTGGATCTTCGTCTGTAGCCATATCATACCACATTATATTGTATAATATATACTATACTATTGTCGCGTTCGCGGCGTTACTTCCCGAGATCGCGATACTCGGCGGAGCGCTTTCGGAAAGGAAGAACACTGTTTAAGGAAAAACTCGCTCTTTATTAAACCAACGGTACAGAAATGCGTCCGGCCACCGCGGAATCTGGCCGTCAAATCTGTATAACAGTCGGAGAACGACGCGTTGCCAAGGATCCTTTATTCAAACTCTTATCGATTGATATTGATTAATTTCAGCAGCGCTGAACGGAACACCGCACGGCCGCAACACTGCCCCCCTCTTCATAAAATTGTCGTCCCGACAATTCTTCCTCTTTCAAGAACTTCCTCTTGGAAAAGACTTCTGGGCTCCTGGCGACTTCCTGCCCTACCCTGGGCTGCTGCCTCAGGTTACCGGGCGTCGCTACTTCTAATCCCAGTCTTCTCTACTCTTAAGAAGAATCTTGTTCTTGAAATTTTCGCGCGTTTCACTTTTGACTCTTCGTCTTGAGCTTTGCGCACTTTTCTCTTCCATTTTTCGGGCAAAGTGGGAGTAATCATCGTGGATCCTTACGTCTTTCTAAAAGACACACTAAGCCCCTGCCTCGGCATTCGCCCATCGTCCCCCGGAAAAACCACGACTCGGAAAACTGGGGACGAGGCAGACTTCTTTTCAGTTTGAAGCACGAGCTTGAAGATCTTGTTTGAAGATCTTGGTGCTCAGGCTCGAGGATCTCCCCACGACGCTTCTCACGACGAAAGGAAGCTTAAAGAAAGATAAAACAGAACATAGTAACTCAAAACAATTAACAAGAAATAAAAGTAATGTCAAAATTAGAAAACCAGGCCCCGAAAACCTCTACTTAAAATTCTTCCCTTTCTCTAAACGGAGCTAACCTGTCGACATGCACAACCTTGCTTTTCCGACCACTTGAACGAGAAATACAGAAAACTACATCACTAATTTTCTTAATTATCTCAAAAGGCACCTCCCAATCGTTCTGTAGTTTGGGAGATCTACCCTTCTTACGATGAGGATTAAATAACCAAACCTTCTGTCCTTCCTCAAAAACGGGATGCCTAGCCTTTCGATCATAGCGGCATTTGATCTTCAAAGACCTTGATTCTAATCTCTCTCTTACTCTCTGATGAATTTCATCCAGTTTCTGCCGCAAATTCCGAACGTACTCCTCCGCTGACTCGGAAAAACCATAACTGGGAGGAGTACCTCTTAGCAAATCCATCGGCAAGGTAAGATCTCTTCCGCAAAACAATTCTGAAAGAGTTACGCCTGTAGCCTCATGTTTAGAGGTCCTATAGGCAAGAAGGAACATGGGAATCCAACGATCCCAATCCTTTTGATTCTCTTCAACAAACTTTGACAAATACTGTAAAATTGTCTGATGTTGTCTTTCAACTTGACCATCAGACTGAGGATGAAGAGCGGTCGTCCTCGTTTTCCTAATTCGCAAAATTCTCATCAATTCTTGAAAGAGTTGTGATTCAAAATTCCTTCCCTGATCAGTATGAAGTTCCAACGGGACCCCATATCTAGAAACAACCTGATTAACAAAAATTTCTGCTACCGTAGTAGCTCTCATATTTTTCAAAGGAAAAGCCTCTACCCATTTAGTAAAACAATCAACAACAACTAGGAGATATTTATTGCCTGAAGAAGAAACAGGTAAGGGGCCTAAAATATCCATCTGAATCTTCTCAAAAGGAGCTCCCGAATTAAAGATCTGCAAAGGAGATTTCCCCTTATCTGCAGCACTCGTCTTCGCAATACAAATCTTACAGGTTCTGCACCATTCCTCAACATCCTTCTTACAGGTTGCCCAATAAAAACGCTTCCGGATCTTTTCCAGCGTTTTATTGATCCCAAAATGCCCTCCAGAAGGAGTATCATGAGCTTCTTCTAAAATCTGCTTCACTTTGCTTCGCGGGACCATCAACTGAAGAAAACTGTTTTTCAAATTAGGAGCCTCCCATCTCTTATGCAAAATCCCATTTTGGACTTCCAAGGCATGCCATTGATGCCAATAGATCTTGGCTGACAATCCTTTCGAAGAAACTTCCTCCCAAGAAGATCGCAAATCATTTTCTTTGGCAAGTAAAAACATTGTCAGTTCCTGATCCTCTATTTGGGCCCTTCGCCAATCCTCAGAAGAATCCTCACGCAAAACAATACGAGCAACTACTTTATCCTCAAAAAGCCCTCTCTGAACTTCCACTTTAGAACAGAATCTACATTTTTCTTCTACACAAGGGCGTCTCGAAAGACCATCGGCATTACTGCGGTGTATAATCCCCTTTCGATGAGCAACATCAAAATCGTATTGTTGTAACCTTTCCATCCAGCAAACCAATTGTCCCTCCAAGTCTTTGAAGGACATCAACCATCTCAAAGAAGCATGATCAGTTCGAATAGAGAAACTCTTTCCGTACAAATAATGATGAAAATGTTTCATCGAATCTACCAAAGCTAATAACTCTCTTCTTGTTGTGCAATAATTCCGCTCAGGTTTGTTCAAAACCCGACTATAATAAGCAATGACCCTCTCATAGCCGTCCTGAATTTGTGAAAGTACCGCCCCTATTCCAAAACCTGAAGCATCCGTATCCAAAATCATCTTTCCTTCCCCCTTCGGAAAGGAAAGAAGAGGTGCAGACGTTAATGCCTGTTTTAACCTCAAAAATGCTTCTTGACATTGCTCAGTCCATTCAAATTTAGTCAAATTCTCAGTTAACTTAATTTAAACAGAGGCTTCGCAATTGAAGAAAATCCCTTAACAAACTTCCGATAATAAGAGCAAAATCCAAGAAAACTTCGGACCTGTTTCTTATTTTGAGGAAAGGCCACTCAGTGACCGCTTCAGTCTTCTCAGGACCCGTAGCGATCCCGGCAAAAGAAACAACATAACCCAAATATTTTACTTGTCTCCTAAATAAATCACATTTCTTTGGATTAACACTAAGTTTCGCAGCACGAAATCTCAGAAGAACCTCTCTTAAATTCTCTTTCATTTTCTCAAAGGTTTTGCCAAATACTATCACATCATCTAAATAAACCAGGCAAATTTTCGAAACTAAACCCCGAAGCATCCGTTCCATAAGACGTTCAAAGGTAGCCGGGACATTACACAGACCAAAAGGCAACAAATTGCCAAAGTCCATTCCCCACAGAAAAAGCAGTCTTTTCCCTATCTTCGGGACGAATTTTCAGTTGCCAATAACCACTCTTCAAATCCAGAGTAGAAAACCAGGCATTTCCCGATAATTGATCAAGAAGATCGTCAATCCTTGGTAGCGGATAAGAATCTTTTTTTGTAACCGCATTTAATTTCCGAAAATCAATGCAAAATCTAAGAGATCCATCTTTCTTCTTTACCAAAACTGCTGGAAAAACCCAAGGGCTTGAAGATTCTTCAATTACCTCTTGTTCTTTCATGTCTTCCATAATATTTTCAACTTCTGAACGCATATGAATTGGAATTCTCCTAGGAGCCTGTTTGATAGGACAAGAATCCATTAATTCAATTTTATGTTGAAGAACTTCACACTTTCCTGCAACAGCTTGCTCCGAAAACACATCACGAAATTCTCGCAACAATGTAGCGAAAACTATTCTCTGATCTTCCTCCAACTCTCGGGAATTATTATTAAAGAATTCTTCCAACTCCGCGGGCATAGCTTCGTCCTCTTGCTTAATCCGACGACAAAACTCTTCCTTATGACCTCCACGGAGAAAAGATTCTATTACAGTTTGCATCCCTATTCGTGAAAAGAAATCTCCGCCCAAAATACAATCCTCTCCAATATCGACAAAATCGGTAACTCTAAATTAAATCTCCCTAACTTTATCTTAGCAAACATTTTAAAACTGATCGGGACCCTTTCCCCCGTAGGATATCTCAAATTTTCTTCCTTTGTTGAAAAACGCTTCCCTTTTCTCCCTATAAATTTACTACTCACCAAGGTCACGTCGGAGCCCGTATCCAATTTAAAAAAACAGTTTCTCCCATTAAGAGAGCCTTGGAAAACAAAATTTCCTGATTTTTCACACCTTCTCTCAAAACGCCTACAAACACCCGGGGCATTTCTTCTATTTGTCGAGCCCGCCCCAGAAAGTTCGACAAAACCTATTTTCCCTGCTGTGAAACAGAAAGTGATGGACACTCGGAACGGAAGTGCCCTTGTTTTCCGCACTGCCAACATTCCTTTTTCTCTTGAATTTAAAAATTCTTCTTTTTCTTAAAATTTAAACCCCTCGTTCCACGAGATTCTACTTTGAACCCGTTTAAATCAGGATTGCTCTTATAATTCGAGCAATCTTTAATCTCTTTAAAATCAAAATTTCTCCGCTCTTTTAAACAATTCTCCCTAATAATTTTAATAGCCAAAGCTCTTTCTACCGCGGCCCTCAAAGATGTTAACCCTTCTAGCTGCAATGTCTGTTTAACATTCACATCAGACAATGCAATTACAAATTGAAAACAAGC